CTATGGAAACATTCAATAGCAGCTTGGAAGAGTGACCACCAGGGCTTTCCAGGTTTTATGGGCATGGGCTGCGAGAAGTAGCCAGAAAATGGTATAGTTAGGTGTTATCTCCCCAGATACGTGGTGGTTATTCTCTAGGTTCTCGTTTCCTGGCACATAAAGCCAAACAGCATTGGCCACACAGCGACGCAGAACGTTCCTGGAAAATAATCTTGACTCTTCCGATTAGCATTTCTGGGTAAATAACGGGCAGTTTAATTATAGTTATTTTATTATTGGACAACAATATTATTGTAGCCTGTCGATCATGTTCAGGACACATGTCCATACATGTCAACCACTTATCAGTGCCTACCTTATTACAGACCAATTCAGACCTTACTGGTCACCCCGTGCCCTTATAAATTTAATCGTTCATCCTACAAAGTCGCATCATAAGGGAGAAACACAAACAAATATAAATTTTCTTGTATTTCTTGAAACGGCTGTACACCGTGTGGACCTGAAAACTCAATTTCCCTGGGCAAGAATACGGGGTAAACCGTATGGGTTGACACGGTATGCCCGTCTCCTGCAACCAAAAACGTCGCCCCCTGCTGCTGGAAGTCTCCCTCTACATCAAACCATCTTACCGTGACACTATCACCGCTACTACCATGGTGATGTTCATCATACACCAACATCATCGCAACCATCATGAATATTGTACAGTATTGTGGCACACCACCACCATACTCGAGCGTGGATAAAATAATTATCGTCACATTATTACTTAGCTATGAACCCGGCGACCCAATTTTGAATCCTTGCCACGGCCAACATCACTGTCGAACCTGTTCTCGGCACGTTCCCTTCAACCCACACTGACCAGCGTGGTGAAGTATGGTCAAGCAAACTCCAATGATTAACACGGAGATGTAAATCAATCAAGGTACTGATTAAAAAAACCGAATAGGCTCCCTCGGTTCAGTTCAGTTTCAGTTCAGTTTATTTTGGTATAGCCCTGTGAGCCATTTGGCTCTTGAATCGTTGCAACCACAACAAACAAAAAAACAAAAACACGAACAAGAAAAACATCTTAAAGTGACTTTGTGTGACTGTGCAAACAGAAAATCCATGGGAAAAAACCAGCAAAAATATTCCTGAAAAAAGCACCGTACACCAACGCTGTGTGCAAAAAATCCCAGTGGGATGCAAGTCAAACAACAACCACCACAAAAACTTAGATTAAGGCCATCAGTCTAACTCCGTACTACATACAACAAGGTGGGAAGCCAACTGTGATTGTCCATAGGAACGTGGAATTTCCACCACTGGCTCAGGACAGAGCTCTTTGGACTGCCACTCGACACTCGCGTCCCTGCAGCACTTTAGACACAAGCGTATATTTAATCATGAAGGGGCATTATCAAATCCACTGCTGCATGAAGGCCTCCCCAAGCCATTGGTGTAAGTGTGGGGTTGCGGTATTTTGAACTTCTTTCGCACCGCACGTAGCCAACCGTGCTCATGGGAAAGTTGCGGGGTACTTCACTCCAGTTTATTAAGCATTGACTCGCAAGCCCCCGAGTACGTACAGCAACAACTTTCTGCAACAAGCGGCCACATCTGTTACTTCGTTCACTGCCGAAACAGTTAACGCATTTAAATGACAGCCAAAAGGAGGCGTGGGGGAAACACAGAGAGAGAGAGAAGGTGGCTGCAGCTGCCGCTTGACGTCTGGCCGCGTCTCTCCTCCTCGAGCAAAGAGGGGCAGCTGTGGGGAGAGCGAGGAGTGGTGAAGTATGGCGAATGGACTCACCACGCAGAGAGGTCCCCCTCAGCAGACACGAGCCCAGCCGCCACGGCGCCGCCATGCCGAGTACAGGGCCCGGCGCAGAGTTACATTCCCTAGCGCGGATAGGAGCCAATACGGGGGCGCGGTTTGGTTTTCATACAGCGGATAAGTATAGATGTACGATGCCTTACATTCCCTAGAGCGGATAGGAGCCGCTACCGGGTATGGTTTGGTTTCCGTACAACAGATAAGTATAGATGTACAATACTCTACATTCCCCTAGAGCGGATAGGAGCCACTAGGGAGGACGGTTTGGTTTTCGTACAGTGGATAAGTATAGAAGTAAAATACATTCCATAGTGCGGATAGGAGCCTCTAAGGGGGGCACAATTTGATTTTCATACAACTGATAAGTATGTGATATTTTGTTTTAGTACAGAAAGGTTAATGCAACACGTACAATTCAGTTTCTTAGCTATCAAAAGAATGCATTCAGGACAAACCCCTCTGAATCGTAGAAGAAGCCCACAGCACTAAAGTTGCATTGCACCGAGGAGAATGAACTCACACGATTCTCACTCGTTCGCTTTTCATTCATTCCCCTTTACAGCCATTTATGCGTATTCCGCGCACCCGCTATCAATTACACAACACACAATTAATCAAACAAGCTAACCACGCGAACGTGACGTGATGGAACAAACATTCAGGTAATTTGAATCGAAACGCGTGTTACAAAACACAAATTTCATTGATATTTTACTTTTACATTGTTATAATTACTACGACATTTTGTGAAGAAGTTAAATGTGCAACACTCACCCACTCATTCACTCACCCACTCACTCATCAGTCCATCTCTTCTCCAGCCCGTGTCACTCACCCACTCATTCACTCATCAGTCCATCTCTTCTCCAGCCCGTGTCACTCACCCACTCATCAGTCCATCTCTTCTCCAGCCCGTGTCACTCACCCACTCATTCACTCATCAGTCCAACTTTTCTCCAGCCCGTGTCACTCACCCACTCATCAGTCCATCTCTTCTCCAGCCCGTGTCACTCACCCACTCATCAGTCCATCTCTTCTCCAGCCCGTGTCACTCACCCACTCATCAGTCCATCTCTTCTCCAGCCCGTGTCACTCACCCACTCATCAGTCCATCTCTTCTCCAGCCCGTGTCACTCACCCACTCATCAGTCCATCTCTTCTCCAGCCCGTGTCACTCACCCACTCATCAGTCCATCTCTTCTCCAGCCCGTGCCACTCACCCACTCACCCATCAGTCCATCTCTTCTCCAGCCCGTGTCACTCACCCATCAGTCCATCTCTTATTTTATTTTATTCTTCATTCTACGTGACTTTACCGAAAGAACCAAAGAAGATGAGTCCATCTCTTCTCCAGCCCGTGTCACTAATTAAAAGTGTGTGGCTTCCTTTCGATGTTTAATTTTCTTTATGCAAGCCACCCACTTTTATTCAGCACATTACATGTGATTATTAATCCTGGGGTCAAAATTATTTATTTTGTACTTTAGAATGCAAATAAAAGCGTGTGCATTGAAAAACCCGTATTTTTTAAAACCTTTTTGTCTGACCCTGTAGAGATAACAACGATGGCTTTGCCTATGTCAACCCTTGTTCGTACAATAAATGAAAGTCATGCGCATTGCTACACAACAAGAGTCTACGTAATGAAATGTTGATAGCGCGCATGCCGGCTATTACAATGAGAATAACGATCATGCCCATTGCAAAGTCGTGAAATCTCATTTAATTGTCGTGTTTGCGATCATGAAGTACTGTAGTGTATTAAAGACGGTAAGGAACACGTCGAGATTACAATTCTATTACAATAAGCGCATATGGACAACAGTGCACAACGCGAGACCCTGTTGAACGTGCACAGGTTTAGCAATTTAATTTAAAGCATATTTATTATCAGAAATCATAATTAGACAATGTCGTCAATCAAAATAGGGAGAACATTAGGGCATTTAATTATAAAACATGATCACGGTTCTCACCCGGCTCGCTCAACTTGAGCATAACCGTGTTGGCCTCCGCTCGTCGGAACGGGCGTGGGCAAAGCAAACGAGAATACTATTAAGATTATAACTGTATAATAATTTTACCAATAATTATTATTGTAACTGTTGTTGCGGGGGGGGGGGGGTAAAATGAACGAGGATTAATTATTAAAATTAAGTCCAAGAACACAAAGAGAGGGCCAGGATCGGCAGGGCTGCATATTTTTATTTATTAAACATTTGAATGGTCACGAGAGACAAAGTCTGTGGGTAGAAAATCTCAGCTCGTTAGGCTTCGTAGATGACCACACGTGTCAACCCATACGGTTTACCCCGCATTCTTGTACAGGGACATTGACTTTTCAGGTCCATACGGCGTAACAGCCGTTTCAATGCGGGCAAAAACAATGTTTTGTTGTCTATTTGTTTGTGTTTCTCCCTTGTGATGGGGCTTTGTAGGGATGAACGTTGAGATTGACAAGGGCACGGGGTGGCCAATAAGGTCTGAATTGTTCTATACTAAGTTAGGGGACTGATACGGGGTTGACAGGTTTGTTATATCCGAAGATGTTAAGCGTCAAAAGATTTGAAATTATATAAACAGGCAACACGGCACGTTCAACAAAAGTGTGTAAATAAAAACTAACTCGACGTACACTTTGGGCTAATGCGGATAAGCAGACATGAAGGTCCCAAGTTTAATCGTCAAAGAGCTGACGAGTCGAAGGCGCTCGTGCAGTGGTGGTGCTGGGATAAGGGGTGGCCCTTTAATTAACGTTAAAAAACTAACTCGACACATTGATCGAAATACACTTTGGCTTAATGCGGATAAGAATGCACGAAGGTTCAGTAGTTTAAGTTTCCAAAAGGCGACGAGTTAAAGGCGCTCGAGCATTGCTACGCCGCCGATGACGACTCCGTGCGGCGGGGAGCGGTGGTGCAGCGGTTAGCGCGACGCAGCACCACGAACCCGGCGGACCGAGTTCGGTTCCCGCTCACGGCCAACACAACGCCGGTGACGTATTAACTGAACCGGTCCTGGGCACCCTCCTAGGTCGACTCAGCCTCAAACGAGCGGTGCGCAAACATCGCCAGGTTTACTGCTCGTCTCACGGCGCTTGCAGGCTGCACGGTGATGGTGGTAGTGGGGGGGTGAAGTTTCCACTTCCGGGCTAGAGATTAGAGGTCGAAGGGGGGGGGGGGGTGAAGCTTCCACTTCCGGGCTAGAGGTCAGAGGTCGAAGCGGGTGGGGGTGGGCGGTGAGTCTCTGGCTGAGGCGCAAGGAGACCGCCCCTCACCATGACCACCATCAGGACCTTCACTTGCGACGATCTCTTCAAATTTAACAACGTGTGAGTGAGTGAGTGGCGAGCAGAACGAACGAACGCGCGAGCGAGCGAGTTGCCGGGGGCATTAGAAGGCACGGCAGTGACCGAGCGAGCTAGTCGTAGCCAGGCCCCTTCCATGTCAAATGACGCTACCGCTCGATTAGGGCCTTCTTCTCGTCCTCCTCGCCCTCCTAGCACGCCGGTGCGGCTCCTGAGGGTTATTGTTGTAGTACATTTTTTTGTTTCGCCATACTTCACCACTCGGTGTCGTTTGCGGGTCGGTGAAAGGCGCGTAGCGTCGACGTTTGGACGTTTGCGAGGAGCATTGAAGTACTGTGCAACACGGCAGTGGATCCATAATATAGTTTTTTTGTGGGGGGGGGGGGGTTGCTAGAGCGCATAAATGTATAAATGTTGTGTCGTTAAACCCGCCACCACCCGACAGAAAATGAGTAAGGTTTTCCACGTAAACAGAACGTGCCAATTCGTCACTAGTACAGCACACCGGTTGTGTGTTGGAGAGCCAAGGCACAACATTTACAATCTTGAGTACGACGTTTCGCCAGTAATTAGAACCGGCATCATCAGGCGACAGCCAGATGGTGATCCATTCCAGGCACTTATCGACGCTCAGAGCTGCGTAACTTTCGAGACCTGGCGCATTCTTCTGCTATAAAGAAGGGCAATTTCCCCAAATGTTTACGTATATATATTTCAATTAAGTTTAACACGTAGACATTCGCGACCAATATCCATAATATCGGGGTTTTTTCGGTTCGATTGTAAATGTTGGGGATTTGCTCTCCAACACACCCACCCGTGTGCTGTCCTCGTAACGAATTGGCATGTTCAATTTACGTGAACCTTACTAATTGGCTGTCGGGTGGTGCCGGGTTTAGCGACACATTTTTTATATTTACGCGATCAGACCCAAAAAACCTGTATCATGGATATTTGTTATTCTTTTTAAGGCCGCAGTGTAATTGAGGAATGTCTCGTTTACTTTGTCCTTCTGCACCACTGTCAACGCAGCATCGCCACATCATTTGTGTAACCGCGTGTCAGACAGCTTAGCATTTCGATGATTTTGCTGCTATACATTTCCACACAATAGGCAACTTTGTTGAGCTGTTTGTGGCCAGGTAGCCCCTGAAAAATAAGTTAAAACCTCAGTGGGCTTTAGCTGGTAAGACAAATAGTTTAGTTTTATTTGTATATATTTTCATACGTGATTTGTTTACCTTTCCTATACTTTGCACTCCTATCGTGTGTTTGTATTGTTTGATGTTGTAACGTTCTGACCCGCCCCTACTGGACAGCTGTGAAAAAGAGCTTTATACCTCATCGGATTCCTCAAGTATAAATCAATATTCTGATTCTGAACATAACTGCATGTCAAACATTATGTAAGGTTTACTTTCGTCGTTTTTAGTAACACTACTAGCTTAATACAATCTGATCAAAACAATGAGATATATGTAGAGTACTTCGAAAGGTGCAATTTACATGTGTTTTTGGATATATTTTGTTGTTGCAGAAACTTGGACCCTCTCACAGAAACCGTATCCTTGAACAGCTCAAAACATGTGGTGGCGCATGCTTGCCAGTGCTTTGGATGCAGGCGACGGGGGATGTATGCGTACATTGGTCTACAAAATGACGGCTAGTACAGCAAGTCCGCTTAGTACCTCGTATGCCTTGGTTTTATCTGGGTTACTCCGGTTTCTTCCTTCAAGCACTCCTTAAAACACCAATTGGTCTAATATCCCTCTCGATGCAAGACCTTTATGAAAAAATAATCTTGAAACTTTTACCATTATGATGACTTCATTTAAAGGGCACTTACGGATGGATGATCTGGGTGGAATAACCACAACACTCTGCGTTGTCTGCTTCACAGTGAACGTTATATATCCCTTGACATCATTCCTAAAAGTAGGCCATTATCGTGTACCGACATCAGCGTCCAAGTTTACCAAATTCGAGAATGATATTGCAAATTACTCAATTGGGATTATGCACACAGCGGCAATAATCACCACTTTCTGGCAAACCAATGCCGCAGGTCACTCTTTCAAATGAGACTCATCCTGGTCTCTGGAGTGGAGATGAAGCTTGGAATAAGTCTTGCTTTGGAGTGTGTTTTTCAAAAAATCTCTCAAAATTAAGGGGTCTCCTAAAATCCTCCATTTTATGTGGGACGCAGTATATCTACCCTTGTTAATTTGATACATTGTACAGGCATTTCGGATAACACTTGTCGATTTCTTACTCTGCTTTAGCAGCTGAAGTAAACTGTTGAAAAATAATAAAGGTGTTTCCTACGAGAGTGGAATCGGTGGTGAGTGTAAGCAGTGGCTGTGGCTGTCGTGTCAAGTCTCTTGGTCGAATCCTTGACATCACGCACAGTATGGGATCCCCTTCTACCTCCAGTACCTGGCTCACTGGCCCGAGTACTTCCTGCTGGCCGAGTCCGCGTCGGGTGACATCATGGGCTACAGTAAGCCTGTTAAAACTGTGGGAGAGTGTTTCCTCCTCGAATATGTGGGATTTTTGTGTGTGCTCCAGTTTTCTCCCACATGTATAAACATTAATTGGCCGATAACACCTTAATATAGAGGACTGCAGAGCTTGGGAAATCGTTGGCGCCGACTTGCTGCCCGGCTGCTTTTTCCACTGTCTGTGGCTGCTTGAGTCGTTCTCTCTGAGAGTGTGCGAATACTGTGCGGTGCAATTCTGGACCCCCCCTTTACCAACCCGCACTGGCCAGCGTGGCGAGGTCTGGTCAAACAACTCCCAGAAGCCACACGGCATGCGTAGGCTTGCATCCACCAGTGTATTAACAAAGAGCTGTACATTATTCACTATAATTGATTTTTATTTTGGGTTTGCTTTGAGACCCTGTGCGCTTTTACTTGAGAGACTATAGTAATCTGTCATTTGCAAGTATTTTCTAAATTTGAGAAATATTAGGCGTATAATACTGGCATGTACTGACCTACCTTTTTGAAATGGTGGTCACAGGATCATAGTTAATTTGGTTAATTTATTTTTGTATTTACGAAATGAATGATTGAAGAATAGACCTGAATGTCTCTAAATGATTAAAGGAGTGTCTTTAGATGTGGTTGCATATAGACACTATTGTATATACAATTTTAGTATATGAAGTCATTGATCAATAATGACTATTTTTTTTTCCTTATTGCTGCGTAAATTATTTGGCTGCGTGATTCCTTGATGCCGAGCTCAAGTGATTTATTGTTCGAGTGGTTGAGTGAGTTGTACAATGGAGCGAGTGATTCTAGTACAATCAAGTGAGGGAGAGAATTACGTAGTCGAGAGTGATACGATCAAGTGAGTGATCATGCAAGGAATGGAGTGGGTGAGTCTTGTACAATTGCATAAGCGAGTTTTGTACAATAAAGTCAATGAGTGAGCGACTCCAGCAAAATAGAATAAGTGACTGGTGCAATCGAGTGAGTGACTAGTGCAATTTGAGTAGAATATAGTTATTGAGTCTGGCACGTGGCTCCCCTTATGCCCTCAGTCATGGGGAAGGCGGAGGGCTCGGTGTCACGCGAGGAGTGGCACGGTCACGTAACGGCACTCTCCGTAGCTCCTGACTTCCGCCGCCTGGGCCTGGCTGCCAAGCTCATGGAGCTGCTGGAGGAGATCTCCGAGAAGTACTGAACCCATACACTGCCCTTAAAAAAGAAACCTGATTGCATGCTGAATTTGTCGTGAATAACAGTTCTCTTTATCCAGGAAAACCCTCACTGTAAGAAGCAGTGTTTTTAGATGAATAAATGTCTAATCTAATGAGTTCAAGTGAACCCCCTCTGGTGGAGCGAACAAAACTACAAGACAAAAGCAAGACAAACAATACAAACAAGACTGTGAAAATGAGACTAAATGAAAATTGTACAAAAATTGCAAACCAAGATCGTGACAATTCATCGAATCGCTGTGGGAGTGAATAGTTACATGCCTAATTGTCGTGACAATCACCGTCGTCACCATTTTCGTACTTGTGTGTGCATGACGCAGGAAGGGCTGCTTCTTTGTCGACCTATTCGTCCGGGTGTCCAACCAGGTAGCCGTCAGCATGTACAGGCGTCTGGGCTACAGCGTGTACCGCACCGTGCTCGAGTACTACTCGGCCAGCAACGGGGAGGCGGACGAGGATGCGTACGGTGAATCTCGCGCAGCCACCCGCCTTCTCCAAACCCTCGGTTACGTTGACTGATTTGCCAGTAACAACACGCGCGGTGCATTTTTCTGGCCACGAACATTAATTAACTTCCCCCCCCCCGCACTTCTCGCTCTCTCGCACGCAGACATGCGAAAAGCCCTGTCGCGGGACGTCAACAAAAAGTCTGTGGTTCCACTGCCGCACCCCGTGCGACCCGAGGACATCGAGTAACGAAGGCTGCGGTTCTTGGCGAGCGCTCTCCCCTCCACATCTTCACCCCACCCCAAACCCCGTCTTCCCGCCACGAAATCACGATCCACGGTCCTCGTAGTGCAAATCCGCAGCTCTCTCCATCGGCATGCAGCTGCACCATGAATACGGCGGTCACGCAATATTTCGGGGCCGCGCAACTCAACCGAAAAGTGACTGGAGGCGAACGAATGAGTACTGCAGAGGCGAGCAGATGAGTATTGCAGAGGCTAGGTTGAGAAACTAAAGAGAACGTTATTAACCACTATGGTCACTGTCGTCCATCAGTTGCCACAAATGTCAAGTTTGATGCAAGTGAAAGGTGAAAAACATTTGTAACAATATTTTGCGGTAAGACTGGGTGTATGGGCTCTTGTGGAGATTGATCAGAATCAAGGAAAGCTTCTTTCATTCACAGTCTCCGGCTGTGTGCATTTCATAAAGAGGGATTCAAATAATTTCTCAATCAATTGACTTTCAAAATCACAATAGATTATGAAACGTAAAAGCTCGTGTGAGCTGTTGAAAGTAGCAGTACAAGTGGGTATGGCGCATAATGGATAAGTCATGAAGAATGAACAGTTTTATCTGCATTTCAATCGATCTACTTTTTCAGATTTTCAAGTCCATTACAAAAATGTGTTGGTACAACAAAATTGTCCAGTTCACTTCAAGTTGCTATCTTGCAGTTGAAAACTTTCTTCATTGCACGGAGGGTGCATATTGTGCATGTACCTCCGAGCAACACAAACTGAGAGCAGACATGAACCACCGAAGGCACAACGTATTTTGTGTTGGGTTTATTTAACGATGAGATAATAGCATTCAACCATATTCCATGGTGCAGCCTGTGCGTTAAGCCAAGGCAACACCTTCATTACATGCCGCTTATAAATTGCCGCGATGCGATCGAGGAAAATATCAATGCCTGCAAGCTTCAAGGAAATTACATTTTCTGCAGGATGCTATATTTATTCAGTACCGTAGATCGACAATGACTTCGTGGCTGAAATCCCAAGAACCGCAGACTTTTGACAAATTAAAATGCCTCGTTTTGTAAATAAACGGGGTGGACCTCCCAAAGACGTGTGTACCTGTGCTGTGTTGTGGTCACCAGTGCTTCAGTAGTTGGCCAATGCCCTGTGAGCCAGACAATCCTTAGCCACTGTTAAAGTGGCAAAATATGAAGTCCTAAAAAGCATTAGTTTAATTCCGCCTAAAATTATTGTCAGGTGTGGTGGTATGGCCACCATTGGCACGGCAGACACAAAGGAAAATACGTAATGGGTGATGTTTAAAGAAACGGCCCTTCATAGCACATTTAATATGTGCTATGAAGACGGGTCATTGCCAAAAATGCCACTTGTTATATATTTATTTCCTTTTAAGGCAGTGCTTATTCATGAAAGTGCTGAGCAGTTTATTTGTGCAGCTAATTTTTTAATCGATCCTGCCTGTAAAACAGCTCTCAGCTATTAATTCCCGGAGAAAATGTTGGTAAACACCCCCTATTGATGGGATTTAGAATCGTGCTTTCCACCCTTAAGCTCAAAGCCTGTAGACGATGAGAAAAGCCCATCGTAAGAGAATCATCATGTGGGTTGGAAAACCATAAGTTTCAAGCAACAGTAAAAACACGTATAAAACACAGCCTCTGTGTGTTATGAAAAAAACCATCAGCATTTCGTCAAGTGCATTGTGCTCAAGAGACACAAGGTGTCCAGAGGCAGACTTTGCAGCAGTGAACATTGGTGACAACAGTGTGCTGACGAGTCCTGATTGGGATAAAACCGGTCCACAGTTGTCTATCACTCTCGGTCACATTTTCAATTAATTTTGATGGTGACCTCGGACAAGAGGACCGCAATGCAGTTCCTTAGGAAATTCTGATAGTTTCTGCATAATGCACAGGGGCGGTGTGGGGTTTTAAAAAAAAAATCGTGTTTTAATCACTCCCAAAGCTGATATCAAGCCTCAACCAGAACCCCACTGATGGTCTCAGCTGGTTAAAAACAACGCGCCACTGAGTTCAGCGGCTGCCACCCTCGTGTTCCTCGTCGTCGTCGTTGCAGCAGTTGTGGCTGAAAGCAGTGACGTGAGAATGCGAAAGTTCCGCAAGCCACATTTATTGAAAATGTTTTTCAGAGCAACGCGTGTATATGTGAACAAAAGGAGACACTTCATAATTACAAGCCACAGGGAACGACGAAATGAATAAACACGGGATTTTTTTCAGTCAATTGGCAAACACCATCAATCTGTTGGCATTGTAACTCCGAATGGACACAGTGCCACACCTCGGCAAATGACAAGAGTTCTATTTGAAGTAAAAATGAGCTGCAAAATATTTAGCGTTAAGTTTCATACTTTTTAATAATCACACTGCGACGAACAATATCAAGGTAAGCTTCGTTCTCTAAGTGGACAATTGTCCACCTCAGTGTTAGTATAATTTTTTTAACTGGCTGGTGCAATAACATTTTTTTTTAAACCAAGGTTTAAATAAATTGCTGAATTTACCATTCAATAGCTCAGTCGTCTCCTAATGCAATAATTAAATCAGCCCTTAGCATATACATTTTATTTTCTTACATTTAATAAAACCCCTTAAAGATTTAGTCAAACACTGCCTTAAGCCGATGTGTACATGATTCAATAATCCACCACAAGGTCACTCACAAATGAGACTCATCCTGGTCTATTGAGTTCTCACCTGGTTCAACAAATAAACTTGAACCATCAAACACTGACATTCGCATGAACGACCTATATTTCATGACTCATACCTTTTAAATACAACAACTTAAAAGGTGCATTTGAAGGTACAGCTATTAAACTGTTTTGCCTTTTTGTTGCTTTGGCTAATCCACAGCATCACTCCCAATCTGCCCAATGACAAGAAAACCGTGGGTTATTATTAGGAGTAGTGGGCGACACTCAATGTACGGTGAGCTTGTCTTCATCGGTCGGGACAGCTCAGATTTTACTGGGGCTCGACGTTGGCTCAGGAGAAGCGCCTGTACCTGGACCGGTGGTGTCCCCCTCTGTCGAAGCGCCAGCACCATCACCCGCAGCGCCCCCCTCTGTTGAAACGCCGACACCTGCACCCACGGTGTCCCCTGTTGTGCCACTCTCCGCCTCAATCCTCGTGTGCTCTGCCTTCACGAGAGCATTCAGCTCATCCTGCAACACACACAATGGCCGCTGAACGTGGGGTGTAAGTGCGTGTGTGTGGGTAGCGGCAGTGCAGCGGTTAGTGCGTTGCACTACGAACCCGGCGGCACGAGTTCGATTACCGCTCATGGCCAACACCAGTGACGCTTATCTGAACCGGTCCTGGGCCTGCCCTAGGTCGACTTAGCCTTAAATGAGTATACAGTGTGGTGTGTAAACTTCACCACTTGGGAGACAAAGGCGGCCGGACATGTGCTGTGCCGGCCTTCATAGGTGCTCGCTAACTGCACTTTCCCCAAAAGTCTGGTAAGGCTATACGGGGGATCTTTGTCTATGTGCAGCACACACTGCATATGCACGCTGGACAACGGCATGGCTGTCGTGTGTGCAGACGGTGCAACTGTACTGGGGTTCAGGCAACAGACTACGAAGAGGGGAAATTGGACAGGAGACCCCATTTCATGCCTTGTAGCAGGACCCATATTTCAACCACGCTATGCCTCTGATGCTGGGTATATGTGTGCATACTCTGGGGATGTTTTCGTGTGTGTCTGTAGAAATGTGGCACCTTCCAGCCCAGCAACTCCGCAAACTCCAGGCAGCCGTCGTCGCACGTGCCCAGCCACGCCACATCCCTAAACAGGCACATCAAGCATGGACGTGCAGCCTTACGATCCCACCTCCCTTCAGCACCCCACCAAATGCGGAGAAAACACGGCAGCTGCTGATGCAAAACAGGACGCAACGGGCACAGGAAACACAACGCGACGGTGGTCGGTGGAGACGCAGAAAGGAGAGAGTGGACGGAACTATGAAGCCAAAACATTTCCCAACGGGCTTAATATCTCGCCGAATATTTTTTTAATCATTGGTAGATTGGAGTAGGCAGGTGATGATTAGCCACAACCATAACGAGAGGGTATCCTGGATGTGGAGCGCCGGGTGAAGAAATATTTTCTGGGTTGCCGGCCCAGACACCTGGCTGTGAGGTTTATGGCCTGGCCGGAAGAGCTCACCTGTATGCGTCATCAGAGTCGAAGTCGAAGCCGCTTCCCAGGCCGAGTGCAGCGAGCATGGGGTCGCACTGCCGGGGACAAAGAGCGACAGCATCCACAGAGTTACCCATACACCCCCGTGTCGAACAATGATGACAATAATATCTGACAGCCCTGATGTTAGCCGTAGTTGGGAATCAAACTGAGATCCTCAGGTTCACAGTGTTAACCACTGCGCCACCACACGAATAAGCGACTGGTAATGGCTTGTGGCAGTTTGGCCTGGAGGGGCAGATGGGAAATGAACTCGGTGTTGTTGGTGGTGGTGACTGTGATGCAAGCCTGTCGTTACATTGTGATCAGCAGTCGGTTGGTGGACCATGCAGACATATAGTACTATCTATGCTGTAGATAAGGCACATTATTTCTTATGCGTCAACAGATAAAGAGCTATGCGACTAGCCAAGTATAAGAGAGTACATAAGACACCCAGACGGTAAAACACGCATATGTACCTGTCCACTCTTCTCCAAGTTGATGAGAAGACGAGGCGTGCTGTCAGGAACCCTGCAACGTGACAAGAGCATCGTTATTTACCCGGCCCCGTTGGCGATGTGGTTCTAATCGGTCGACTTGCAATCACAAGCTCGTCATCCGTCGAGGACAGCGGTGGAGAACCTTTACCCTCCCAAGGGCCTGAAGAGGACTCTCCGACATCTCTAGTGGCCACCACATTTAACCACACGCTTCAGTGACTTCCATCACTGCAAGAAGCCCTGCCACAGCGACAGAAATGACCAACCACGATAAAATTATAAGCACGGCGTTTTTGCCACACCAAATATGTTCCCCTCCAGCAACCGATTAGTGCAGCTAAGATGCTTTCAGTGATGGATAAATGTAATTTATGGGCCATTTCAAAGGGGTAGTCCTTTATGTGATAATGGGCCGACTATGTGAGCGATGGGATGAAATTAGCACGTGTTTAACCCTTTACATTTTCCGAGAATTGAAAATAGCTGTGAGCCTTTCTGCACTGTGGGCTGTAACAATGCCTCTTATGGAGTAGGTGGCACTTGAATGGCGGTAGGCCGTCACAGCCACAGCGAGAGGTATGCTGGATGTGCTTGCTGGGTGCGGAAATATTTTCTCAGTCCACAAAATCGGACAGACCCTGCTGAAATTAATCCCAGCTAAAAATGAATCGAGTAGCGTTGACGTGTGTGGTGTTGCGCCAGTATGCGTGCGTGCCTGCTGGTGAGGGAGGCAAATGGCTGTACAACCAAGGATGTGCCCATGATGATCAAGAGATCGCACTTTGGGAAGTCCTAAGGCACACACACACATACACGCGGTCAGAGATCACGCCATCAAGATCACCGTCATCATCATGTTGTATCACCACCATTGAGTCAGCAAGAGATGCTTATTGGATCACTATCATTATTTTCTTCACTGTTACCCTTATAAAAGATAGTTTCATTGTGCTCTCATCATCAGCTATGACCATTCCACTTCTGGATGAAGGCCTCCCCAAACTGTCACCCTCTCTCATGATCCTGCGATGTAACAATCAACCTAGCACCTGCACACCAGACGATTCATCACTGCATCTCCATGGCCGGAAATTGAATTCAGGTCGCTGGGTTCACAGTGCTGAGTACTATCCCGTGCTATTGACACTTGCGATGGTCTTGTGCCATCACTTGGAGGCCTTCCCTTGTAGATGCTATGATCTTCTGCACCATTTGGTTCCAACACATCAGCGGTCGTCCTTGTCTCCGGTTTCTGATAGGATCGTTTATTAACTTTTTATCTGTTAACCTGGCCTGCATATTTACTTATGTATTTTTTGACAAGCCGTGAGTGCTGTGACGATGCCGCTGTTCCTCCGTACCGACTGCACGCACGTGAAGAACTTCTCCGGCAATGCCTCCCCGAAGAAAACAATGTCTGCAACGCACACGCAGACCGCAGGTTAGCGACGGCCGCTGGACCGCGAAATTGCCTCCTTATCTGCAAGGATTGCACCCTTAGAAGAAAAAAATGCATAAAAATCATGACGTGTATATACATGTGGAGCCTCCTGAATATAATTTTTACTTGTACATTTTTGTTGTTAAATTATTTACAGAGCAACTGAAACTGAGAGTATTGACAAAACTGCACACACTTTGCTCAGCTGATTGGTAAAATATTTTTTTAAATGTTCTCTTAAGGGAATGATTTGTCATGCACAGGTATTCATGGTGTGTACGTGTCTGTGTGGGTTATGAGTTTTAAAGTGAGCAGTACAACCTGGCTTGACAACCGATTTGCACTTCTCACACCTGGGCACCTTGTCGCTAAAGATCTGCTCTGCAAAACGGAGAAAAAAAACCAACAAAACCCTTAGGTGGCTGGGTTACTTCGAGGGATTACAACTTTGAATGTCATTGACACTTTGCTAGCAACGCTGATTTGTTGGGTTCGAATCCAGCTTTCAACTGTTAGAGATAAAGTCCAGATAGTTGATGGTCTCAGCTTGGTCATCAAAAAAACGTTGGTCATCAAAGAGAAACAATCTCGCTTAACAAAAAACAGCAAATTACTCAACTCGGTTTGCATAAAACCACAGAGATGTTTTGACTCAAATACATTTCTGCCACTTCTAAATGGAAATTCGATGACAGCCGAGCTGAAACGAGGTGTCCCCATCTTCCCTGGTTTACAAACGTGCGAGCTGTGAGCTTTGTGCCGTTGTTCTGGGAGGCACCTTTCATCCAGCTGAGGCAGTACTCGTGTCTGCAGCCCAGGCAGTGCGAGGTGTGGAACGTGCCATGCGCCTCCACGAGCTCGTTATTCTCCAGCCCGGCCACGCGCTCCAGAGTGTCGATATTCTACGTTCCACACATGAGACACCGTGTCTCAAAAGCCCCATCTGTGCGACACTTTACAATAGGGGTGGGGAACCTACGGCCCGATACCTGATTTCATGCGGTCCGTGGCTGCACGAGGCCTACTGCTTCGAAACGGCCCACAAACAATGTTTATCCGTCACTGCAAGTATCTTCGCTGTACCAATTATGTACTGGGGCCATGTGGCTCAGCGGTAGAGTGAGCGGCTCGCAATCAGAAGATTGCAAGTTCAAATCCTGGTTGAAGTTGACTCAGCTGATCATCCTTCCAGGGTCGATAAAATTGTACCACTTTATGAGAAAGTCCACAGTGGTTGTCCTTACGGACAGACTCACTCCCCACCATAGCGGTGTGGAATTTACACCATGGCTCAGGGCTGTAAATAAACGAGCATCAACTCAATGCACATTTGAGCAGGAAATCACTTTGAATTGTCGTACTGGGAGGGCGAATATTTTCAACCTGGCGGCAGTGCGTTTCTTAATTCATTGCATTCAGTCATGCGTCATCTATCCCATGCGTGGAATTTAGTGCGATGAAGGTGAGCCCCTATTATTTTCTGCATTATAATTGGATGACAACATCGGTCGTTTATCCTGCTCTTAGGCAAAAGCACACACCTGTGTGTAGCACCGCAGCAAGCACTCCTTGTCCTTCAGCAATCGAATGAAGTAGTGAGAGACTGTCGGCTGCAAGGGAGCATAAGGACACAGTCAGCCAACACTGAGACCCACTTCGCTGCTTCTGTAGCGTCTGCCCCGCTGTGTGTGGAGTATGAGCCTTGAGTGAATCATAATGATAACTTAGAATTATACAGCGCACTTTCGTTGAAAGATCACAAAGCGGTTAAACGCTGCATCGATTCGTTGATCATGTTGCTTCACACGATGCACGCATTGCATCACACGTGGTAAGAATCTAAGTTTTTTTTTAAATTCGTGTTTGTTGTACATACTATATTATGTCATGCCAACGGCCATGAGAGGAACCACCGTTCTCTGCAATATACATTTTTTTAATAGACTCTAATCGTGACTCTGAATCGTGACAATTCATCGAATCGCCGGGGTGGGGTGACTATTTCCACCCCGATTGTTAGACCGTGCAATTTCACCCCTGTTTTCTTACATTCATTATAAGAGAACACTGCCTTATAATAGCCAACTGAATGTATGATCCTTTACTAAGTTTGGTTGATGGTAAGGCTGCTGGTGATTGGTAATTCGATTCACCTGGTGGGTCTGTTTGAATGGTGATTCTGTCGGGTACGGTATGTTGCGAGTCTTTTCTAAAATATATTTTTACCTTGAACTGACCAGGGTACAGCTCCTTGGCCAGTGCAAAAAACGGCTCTGGATTTTCCTGAAAATTACAAACATCACAGGCATAGAACATTTCATTTCTTTACAAATAGGGAATAAGTATAATAAAGACATAAAATTACCTGGTTAGGTGGTGCTGTTATTATAGTGTGTGGCTTTCAATTAAAAGGTTAAACATGCGTGTATATGTCCAACTCTATTTGCCAATTCACTGCTGGATGACGGCTTCCACATGCCACGTGGGTCACAGAGGTTATTTGATCACGATTCACCACACGGGTCAGTGCTGGCTTGTGAAAGTGGGCAGCACAGATTAAGTAAATGTATGCAACCCAATGGATCTGTATTTACAGTGAGGGAAAAAAGTATTTGATCTCCTGCTGATTTTGTACGTTTGCCCACTGACAAAGAAATGTTCAATCTATAATTTTAATGGTAGGTTTATTTGAACAGTGAGAGACAGAATAACAACAAAATCCAGAAAAACGCATGTCAAAAATGTTATAAATTGATTTGCATTTTAACTAGGGAAATAAGTATTTGACACCTCTGCAAAACATGACTTAGTACTTGGTGGCAAAACCTTTATTGGCAATCACAGAGGTCAGACGTGTCTTGTAGTTGGCCACCAGGTTTGCACACATCTCAGGAGAGATTTTGTCCCACTCCTCTTTGCAGATCTTCTCCAAGTCATTAAGGTTTCGAGGCTGACGTTTGGCAACTCGCACCTTAAGCTCATTACACAGATTTTCAATGAGATTAAGGTCTGGAGACTGGCTAGGCCACTCCAGGACTTAATGTGCTTCTTCTTGAGCCACTCCTTTGTTGCCTTGGCCGTGTGTTTTGGGTCATTGTCATGCTGGAATACCCATCCACGACCCATTTTCAATGCCCTGGCTGAGGGAAGGAGGTTCTCACCCAAGATTTGATGGTACATGGCCCCATCCATCGTCCCTTTGATGCGGTGCAGTTGTCCTGTCCCCTTAGCAGAAAAACACCCCCAAAGCATAAGGTTTCCACCTCCATGTTTGACGGTGGGGATGGTGTTCTTGGGGTCATAGGCAGCATTCCTCCTCCTCCAAACACGGCGAGTTGAGTTGATGTCAAAGAGCTCCATTTTGGTCTCATCTGACCACAACACTTTCACCCAGTTGTCCTCTGAATCATTCAGATGTTCAGTGGCAAACTTTAGACGGGCATGTATATGTGCTTTCTTGAGCAGGGGGACCTTGCGGGTGCTGCACGATTTCAGTCCTTCACTGCGTAGTGTGTTACCAATTGTTTTCTTGGTGACTATGGTCCCAGCTGTCTTGAGATCATTGACAAGGTCTTCCCGTGTAGTTCTGGGCTGATTCCTCACCGTTCTCATGATCATTGCAACTCCACGAGGTGAGATCTTGCATGGAGCCCCAGGCCGAGAAAGAATGATAGTTCTTGTGTTTCTTCCATTTGCGAATAATCGCACCAACTGTTGTCACCTTCTCACCAAGCTGCTTGGCAATGGTCTTGTAGCCCATTCCAGCCTTATGTAGGTCTACAATCTTGTCCCTGACATCCTTGGAGAGCTCTTTGGTCTTGGCCATGGTGGAGAGTTTGGAATCTGATTGATTGCTTCTGTGGACAGGTGTCTTTTTTACAGGTAACAAGCTGAGATTAAGAGCACTCCCTTTAAGAGTGTGCTCCTAATCTCAGCTCGTTACCTGTATAAAAGACACCTGGGAGCCAGAAATCTCTGATTGAGAGGGGGTCAAATACTTATTTCCCTCATTAAAATGCAAATCAATTCATAACATTTTGACATGCGTTTTTCTGGATGTTCTTGTTGTTATTCTGTCTCTCACTGTTCAAATAAACCTACCATTAAAATTATAGACTGATCATTTCTTTGTCAGTGGGCAAATGTACAAAATCAGCAGGGGATCAAATACTTTTTTCCCTCACTGTACGTCTACGGATTGCACTGTAAGGGCAGTGGATTTTGATCAGAGAAGAAGGACAGAGTAGTAGAACATGGAGAAATAAATCCAAGCAGCCGACCGCATCCAATGTAAATAAGTCATTGCAAAGTTGTGAAGAATATTAATTAATATAATAGACAAGTAGACAATATGCCTTCTTCATGTATCTGTCTCACCACATAACAAATAAAATAAATTATGATACAACCCATCGGCCTTCTGGGAGTGTATAATTTCAGCAGCATTAATTCAATCGCGATTCAAGCAAGCCTGACTGCTGATGAGACACTGATTGTTGAAACCGGTTCAGAATTAGCTCGTACCGAATCAATGCAACTGAATGTAGGTCTGGGTCTCTATGTAAGGCTCTGCGTAAGTCTATGGCTTCGAAAATGATTAAGATGATCATTGTTGTTAGGTGGGTGTGCAAGGTGGGGAGCAGTAGTGATGATGGCTAACGCGCTGCACTATGAACCTGGCGATCCGAGAGATTCCTGCTCACGGCAAAAACCACTGACAATTATCCGAACCAGTCTTGGCCTTCCCTTAGGTCGACTCGGCCTCAAATAAGTACCTGGTGCGGTGTGTAAATATCGCCACTGGCGAGACAAAGGTGGCTGGCCCTGGTGCTGGCTACCCACCCCCTCGTGTGCCGTGTCGACCTTCATAGGTGCTCACTAATAGCCCCTGCCGCAAAAGTCTGTCGAGGCTATACGGGGGATCTTTGTGTTTGTGATGGACACACACCCGGAAGTATCCAATGTCGAAGACGGCCTGCGGGTGTGGGAGGTTGTACTTCTGCAGGTTGTCGTAGAGCCCCGTGCCGGGCGAGCGGAAGTCGGGAATCCCGGCCGCTGCACACGTGACCACGCAACCACACGGCGATGACTAGGTGCGCGCGTCCTGAACCCATCAGGCCCCATTGTTATTATTACACTTGTTTATCCCGGAGAGCTTCGCCGAGTCTTTAGACTCAGCGAGGCTCCCTTTTTAGAAGTTAAGTTACTGCTGAGTTTTTGCAGTAGGGACTGCAATTGCTGTGTGTTTCACAATTAGGTTAATTTCAAGCATTATTTCAAGTTTGGAACATAACGCCAGCATGCAATGGCCCACTCTTCTTTGAATAATTCCATGGTATCTTTGAAATGAACTAAACTATTCTTATTTCACCAGGTAAGGGCCACTGAGCTATATAGCTCTTTTTCAGAAACAACCTGGCCACAAATGATAGCTCAATGATGAGGCTTATCATGTGGAAATTTATAGCAGCCAAATTTATAGCAGCCAAATTATCTAAATACTCTAAACGCATGTTGATTCTACATGTGGAGGGAGAAACCGGTGGATCCGGAAAAAATTCCAAGCGACCATGAGGGAAACATGTAAACTTCAAATATAAAAGGCGTCAGGATCGGGATCGAACCCACGACCTCCTGCATTCCAGGCAAGGTAGTTAATATCTCACCACCATGGCCGGATTCGAACAGCGAACCTCTGCAACAAACCTCTTGGCCCATCTCATCACCCATAAATAAAATTGTTAACTCTGGATTATCTGTGAGCAGGGCCATCCATAGGAGGTTGCGGCGCCCGGTGAAAATAACAGTGTGTGGGCCCCCCAACGCCTTCAAACTAAACATCTGACACTGTGACATTGAAGTGTGGGGTCCCTGAAAGCGCAGGGCCCAGGGCAGTCGCCCAGATTCGCCGCACCCTAGAGACGGCTCTGTGGGCCAGTTAGTCGGGTTGTTAATTGTGCTTGTAAAAAAACCCAATATCTTAATGCACGCGCTAGTTTAATTATAATCTTACTCATTGAAGGGGCAGTGACTCAGTGCCCATGTTTCCACAAGCAAGTGAACAGATTGCTTGTCTTCACACAATTTTATGAAGGTTCATAAAAGATGAGGTTTTATGGATTTATTTAAATATGCTTTGAGTTTTGTTTTATTTGGTCCACTCCTCCCCTGCACCCATTACCCCGTATAATTGAGAGTTGACTGTATTTAGCTTCATTGAAACGTAACACTTTTAAGGAGGATCCTGCACTGGGATGTTTAGCCAATGCCACAAATGGGCATTTCTAGATTTGAGGGAACGACAGAATCCAGAGAAAACCCACCACCACCCTTACAAGGGAGAACACACACTTAAGCTCCACGCGGATGGATTAAATCCATTGATGTCTTGCCATCTCCGGGCAATATCACAACCCAAGCCTATAACACCTGGTATTTTCAGCTAATCTCCCATACAAACAAGTGAAAAAAAATGACCGGCAACTTACCGGTAGATATTCCAGCACCCACCATGCATACGATATTTTTGCCTGCAATGAAAACAAAACAAACGTTACATTATTCTCTTTAACCCGGTGCATTCCCACAGCCATTTGTAAACCAACTGTAATTTTCTGGGTTGGGCTGCATGTGTTCTTCTCTCAAGCTTTGGCCACACACTGCTGCGGGCATCGATTCAACTCCTGAAGATGAGTGCAGTCCTGTGTGGCGAAAGCTTCAGACTTTTAATAAATGTGAAAAAGAGCAATTCAGTAATCATGAATAATTTAGTAATTGGTATTAAATCTGAATTGTGAAAACATACTTCTGACTTTTGGTAGTAAAACCATTTTTCTCCTTCTGAAGCGTACAGCTGGGTGCGTGACTGCAAGGGGCAATGTGCTAACCGCTGTGCTGCACTATAAAAATAATGGTGGTGCCACTGGCCATGCTGTGTCGGTGACACTGCCCGTGCTGTGCCGGTGTCACGACCTGTCCTGTGCCAGTGTCACTGCCCGGCTGTGTCGGTGACACTGCCCGTGCTGTGTCGGTGCCACTGCCCGGCTGTGTCGGTGCCACTGCCCGTGCCGTGTCGGTGCCACTGCCCGTGCTGTGTCGGTGCCACTGCCCGGCTGTGTCGGTGCCAGTGTCACTGCCCGTGCTGTCCCACTGCCCCTGCCCGTGCTGTGTCGGTGACACTGCCCGTGCTGTCCCACTGCCCCTGCCCGTGCTGTGTCGGTGACACTGCCCGTGCTGTGCCGGTGTCACTACCTGTCCTGTGCCAGTGTCACTGCCCGGCTGTGTCGGTGCCACTGCCCGTGCTGTGTCAGTGCCACTGCCTGTGGTGGTGTCAGCTTGTGTCTCACATTTCCCGGCAAGGATGTGCTTGGCCACTCCCCCGAGCGTCAGCTCCTCCAGCACGCGCTCGTGCCCACTCGCCGAGCCCAACTCCAGCTTGCGTGCCAGCATCTCCCGCAGCGCGTCCACTGCAACGTTAACAATTCACAGCCCTTGGTCGATCCACTGCTGCATGAGGGCCTCTCCCACGCCACGTTTGACATGAGAGTTATTTAACTTGACCGCACTATACCACGTTGGTCGGTGCAGGTTGGTGAAGGCGGGAAGCGAAGATTTAGGTAAAAAAAATACAGAATATCGGATTTTGCTGCACTGCCCTCTGCTCCCCACCACGTAGCCTCGCAACAGTCAACAAAAACTGATGTGGCAGGTCTAACAAGATAGGGCACATTCTGGGCGATTTATTATATTGGACTGTATATATGCAGTATATATACTCCATATGAACTATAGTCAGGCGAGAGCCCATGGTGACAGGGCTTAAGGGAGACCTGTGGTGAAAATTAACAATATTTCCGTGCGGAAAATAACCAGCACAGCTGTAAAAAATAAGCAGAGGTTTGATCAGCTGAGGGAGGAAGTGCAATAGCACAGTGGCTATCTCACACTGCTATGAACCCAAGAAACCTGAATTGAACTCCCAGCCATGGTGGCTTACATGAGTGGCAGGTAATATCTGAACTGATCCTCAGCCATCCCTTCACCAATCCGCACTGATCAGCGGAGTGAAGTATGCAAACCCCCCACCTACCGCCAGAACCGATGTGGTGCAGGGATCCCTTAATCCTGCAGAGGACTGACAAATGGCTGTAGATTACTATTTAAATCAGCAAAGATGAATTTCAAAAAGCATTTCCCAAATAAATTAATGCAAAATATGAGCAAAAAAACGATCGCTTTAAGAGCTTACACTTATATCTATCACAGAAAGGACATTTTAATGTCTCTGTGCTTTGACATGCTGCCACCCTCCTAAGCCACCGTGCCAACTAAAACAATCAGTCAATGTTATTACATTTGGGGTAATTGCTATAGTTGCTTGGCAATTGCTTCTGTCTGAGAAATAGCATTTCAGAGAGTGACATAATAGGGCATATTGAAAGTATGACAGCACACGGAGAGGATAATCTGACCTGTATCGCGCAATTTCGGCTGCTTAGGTCTATTCAGCACGAATGTACTGGACCCATTTTAGGCTAAATTGACCCAGGGAGACCCAAGCTAAGTTATGCCACCAACTGAAATGGAAATCCGGGTCACTGGAAAAGCAGAAAGCATGTAGATGACGATGGTGATGATGACATCGACAACGACGTTGATTACGATGATGAGCAGCTGCCATTATTGTCGTACTTTCCGAGAATCCAGACGCCCCTTCGTCTTCCTCGCTGTCCCAGTCGACATCCTGAAACAATACGGACAATGAGTCACGTGACACTTCAAGTCACCACACTGCAGAAGCTTAAGGCTGCGATTGCAACCGCGGCACCATCAGGGAACTCATCGTCGATGGTCATTGCCGGCAATAGTGACAACACTTGTCTTTTGTGGAACATTTAATTGCTCAAATCTGGGCTTGCAATGCCAACACAAATGCATTCCTCTGCCTATTAAAGCCACGTGTTTGTGTAGGGGTGTCATGTTGTGTTTGGTGATGATGTTGAAACCGGCAGTTGCAGGGCAATGTAAAGAAATAAAAACCTGCTGGTGATGAACCCTGTCTGACTTGCGTGCAGAAGGGTGCGTGGGTGATTTTTTTTCTGCAATAGAAAAACACAAAAAAAACAGATTTGTCAGTTACACGTATTACAAGATTCACAATCTATAGCCAAAAAGGGCGCCACTCATCTCTATCTGCGGGCCTAAGCCAGAGGTGTAAATTGCGCATTATTATGCCAGGGTCAAGAGTAAGAAAACAACCAGGTGACGACAGACATCTGTGACAAATCTGTGGTCATGTCCCTGAGAGATCAAGTCACTTCGACATGGGCTTCTCACAACGTTCATTTTCATGCCTTCTGAACTTGTGAAATCTAATCGATCTTCTCTGGGTCCTCTCTCCCACGCTATATTTTTACAACGACCCTTGCCATCTCTGCCTTTGACACCGAGGTCACTCATCATCATCTCCCCACACGCTTGCCAATTGCTGCTATGGGACGTGCATTTTGTTTGGCTTTAGATTTCAGTGGTCGCAGTTTAACACAGCAAAGTATAACACAGAACAGAACCGTTGACACCGACCAAATCAGGTATATGCCGGGGACGCTCATCTGCCTGAGCCGGAGGTGGCAATTCCACCTTACTATGACGGCGAGCGGAGGGGCAGTACCTTATCATCCAAAGCACGAATTAATCCAAATGCGGTACAGCCCACAGGGCGACACATTCATACTCACGCTGCACTGCAAAAAATAAGGCAAATGGACACCACACGCACGCACATGCAAATGTAAGGGGCGGTGGGAGATGATAACAATACAATTTTAAATATAACTACAGCATACATTTAAATGGCACCATCAGGAAGCGATGCCGCTGTTATTTAATTACAGAACGCCCATTACACTGATGCTGTACCTTCTGACATCTCGCGTTGTCTCGACACGGCGATTATCCAACGTGATTCGACTTTGGGTCAGTCAAATCGTCCCCCGTTTAAACGGAGCAGGAGTCTAAATCCCTTTCGAGTTAAACAAAAGGCCGAATAACCCCCCCAACGACAACAACAACAACAAGCGGTGTGATATGCCTGCTCTGTCTTGTCTTTCGCTCCGTGGCCGGTTTCCGAATTCGGAAGACGGTCAAAGTGAACGCGCGGAAGACGTCTTCCGGAACAGGCCCCACCCCCCCATTCCCCCCCACCCCCCCCATTCCCCCCACCCCCCCATTCCCCCCCACCCCCCCATTCCCCCCCACCCCCCCATTCCCCCCCACCCCCCCATTCCCCCCCACCCCCCCATTCCCCCCACCCCCCCATTCCCCCCCACCCCCCATTCCCCCCCCACCCTCCCATTCCCCCCCACCCCCCCATTCCCCCCCCACCCCCCCATGTCCCCCCCCCCCCCGCACCATTCCCCCCCCCCACCCCCCCATTCCCCCCCCACCCCCATCCCCCCCCCACCCCCCATTCCCCCCCACCCCCCATTCCCCCCCACCCCCCATTCCCCCCCACCCCCATCCCCCCCCACCCCCCCCATTCCCCCCCACCCCCCATTCCCCCCCACCCCCATTCCTCCCCCCACCCCCCCATTCCCCCCCACCCCCCATTCCCCCCCACCCCCATTCCCACCCCCCACCCCCCCATGCCCCCCCACCCCCCATTCCCCCCAACCCCCATTCCCCCCCACCCCCCATTCCCCCCCACCCCCCCATTCCCCCCCACCCCCCATTCTCCCCCCCACCCCCCATTCCCACCCCCCCATTCCCCCCCCACCCCCCCATTCCCCCCCCCACCCCCCATTCCCCCACCCCTCCCATTCCCCCCCCCCCACCCCCCATTCCCCCCCAACCCCCCATTTCCCCCCACCCCCCATTCCCCCCCACCCCCCCATTCCCCCCCCCCCCCTTCCCCCCACCCCCCATTCCCCCCCCACCCCCCCATTCCCCCCCACCCCCCCATTCCCCCCCACCCCCCATTCCCCCCCCACCCCCCATTCCCCCCCACCCCCCCATTCCCCCCACCACCCCCCATTCCCCCCCCAACCCCCCCATTCCCCCCCACCCCCCCATTCCCCCCCACCCCCATTCCCCCCCCCCCCATTCCCCCCCCCCCACCCCCCCACCCTCCATTCCCCGCCCCACCTCCATTCCACCCCCCATTCTCCCCCAACCCCTTCCCACCCTACCCCCATTTCCCCCCCACCCCATTCCCCCACCCCCATTCTCCCCCACCCCCATTTCCCCCCCACCCCCATTCCCCCCCATCCCCCCATCCTCATTCCCCCCACCCCCCCATTCCCCCCCACCCATTCCCCCACCCCCCATTTCCTCCCACCCCCATTCTCCCCCACCCCATCCCCCCACCCTCCATTCCCCCCACCCCCGTTCCCCCCACCCCCCATTACCCCCCACCCCCCATTCCCCCCACCCCATCCCCCCCATTTCCCCCACCCTCCATTCCCCGCCCCACCCCCATCCCCCCCACCCCCATTCCCCCCCACCCTCCATTCCCCCCCCACCCTCCATTCCCCCCCCACCCTCCATTCCCCCCCCACCCTACATCCCCCCCCCACCCTCCATCCCCCCCCACCCTCCATCCCCCCCACCCCCTTTCCCCCCCCCACCCCCATTCCCCCACCCCCCATTCCCCCCCACCCCCATTCCCCCCCACCCCCCATTCCCCCAACCCTCCATTCCCCCCACCCCCATTCTCCCCCCACCCCCATTTCCCCCCCACCCCCATTCCCCCCACCCCCCATTCCCCCCCACCCCCCATTCCCCCACACCCCCCATTTCCCCCCCACCCCCATTTCCCCCCCACCCCCATTTCCCCCCCACCCCCATTCCCCCCACCCCCATTCCCCCCACCCCCATTCCCCCCCACCCCCATTACCCCCCCCCCACTCCCTCCCGGCCGTCCCCGCCCAGGGGGCTAACGCGCTGATTAAGCAATCGCGAACGACTAAGCCCCCCCCACCCTCCCGGCTCGCCGTAGCTCGCCACAGCTTGCCTCGCGATTGGCGGTTACACGCGCACGTGACCGCGAACGAGGGCCGCACGCGATTCGTCGCTACAGCGGCAGCGTGCGTCCGTATCGTTCGTTTCCCGCCTTGTTGCACGCCGTTAAAACTCGTAAAGTTCTCCTCATAGTTCTTACAGAATTTATTATTAACCCTTACGTTCGTTCGTTCCTTCCTTTTGAAGGGGATTTGAGCCGAACGAGTAATGTACTCACCCCGGTCGTCGGCCTCCCGTCGGCCCCCGAGCTCCCCGTACGTGACGGCCTTGACTAGAAGCGCTGCCCGGAGGAGCGCGGGGGCAGCGGCGGGGCGAGATGCTTCGCTCCTCTCGCAGAGCCAGGCCCAGAGCCCGGCCCGCGGTATATCGCCACTGACCGTCAGCCCTCGCCGTTCGCTCATGAGAAGGTGACGTTGTTGTTGCGTCTGTATGTACGTTATAGGTCTTTGTCAATCCGTTCTGTTACTGGGTGACAGCGGGGAGCATAGATATCGGAGCAGGGCAAGTACAGTACAACATTGGATTTCGCTGGAGTGCCGTCTGCTGCCCATCACGCAGCAGCATGCATGGGGGTCCCCAGTCCAATTGTGGCGAGTTTGTGCGCCCTGTCTGTTGGGACGATGTTGTGTTTACATTACCGGTGCCGGGCAATTCAAGTTGAAAATGATGGCCAAGTGACGTGTTGACTTAAGTGTTGGCAAATGGGCATTGAACTTGTTTAAGGAACGTGACGTTTTGTGTGTGTGTGTGCTGTGTACCCGTGTGGAAAGCGGTGGTGGAAGCGGTTAGCGCTACGCTGCGCTACGAACCCAGGAACCCGAGTTCGATTTCCGCTCACGGCCAACAGCCAGTGACGATTATCTTGAACTGGTCCTAGACCTCCACTAGGTCGACTCTGCCTCAGATGAGTACTTGGTGCAATGTGTCGGGAGACAAAGGTGGCCGGGCGTGGTGCTGGCCACCCCCACCCCCTTGTGTGCCGTTCCGGCCTTCATAGGCATTCGCTAACAGCACTTGCCCCAACAGAATGTTAATTCTACACGGGGGATCTTTGTCTTGGTGCACCTGTCGAAATGCCGCGGTTGCATTGTCCCGCGAGCTCGGGATTAATGTTAATCGGATGAATCGGACATAACGAATGAGACAACATAAACTATCAATAAGAGCGTGGAAGAGCAGGCCAAATACCCTTGAGGTGCAGGGCTGCACATTTAGCGAATACAAACAAGGCGGTATACCAAGATAAAAACATCTTTACCCCCCTTAATGACAGCTGCGTGACTTAATGATCGCTGTGTTGTGGTTTTTATGTGTACTCACGTACCAGTCACAACACGGTATTTAATTGTTTTATTTAATTATATCTTTGTGATTCTCTTGGCACAAAAACTTTCCTCCAGACTGGACCCTAAATCGGAGTCATCCATAACCGCATGAATCCATTGATAGTGAGCACTTGAAATCGAATCCTTGAATCTCTTGCCTAATGAATGCCTCCTCCCCTTTCTTGCCTATGCGACGTGGAGATTAGAAGTTGCGGGGTGCTTTTCCAGCCCAGCCCCATGCTCCTGGAGGGCAGTGCCAGCTACGTTCTCCAGGGGTTCGGCTCCTCGCTATCTGTGGCCGTCATGGAGGCACTTGCCATGGCTTCAGGTAATGACACCCATCTCCGCCGCTGCCTCCTATTGTCAAAAAACAATGTTGGATTTAAAAAAAATATCTTTCCAACCTCTTGAGTCACCCAACAATCTTAATTTTTTGTAGTTTCTCTCATCCTGCTCTTATTGTCGTTTAGCCAATGAGGAGCTGAGCGTTGGGCTGGATACCCTCGGCTGGGCCTGGCTCGTTTACGGTGATCGTCTGTTTATTTGGAAGATTGGACACTCCTTCCTCTCAAAGGTATATAGCACGACAGACACAGGACATATGTGGTTTAAAATAATTGACATATCTCTCACTTTCATGTACTGGCAGCTGAATCCAAGGCGGTCTTTCACTAGGGTTAGCACAATATGATATTATATGGCTTTTGATATAAATTCCACGATAATTGTATTGTCAAATTTGAGAAATATCATTAGTTTAAGCTTTTGAAGTTTATTTTGATTTGTGACACGACTTATCCCGTTTGGAGAGCTGCCTGGCTCTTTTAACAATGGGAGATTTTTGGTGCTACAGCAAAAACAAACCCAAAACATTAATACTGCAGAGAACGAGTACAGATCTTTGAGGAATATTACATGACACTACAAATTCGGTATTTGACTGATAACGACAGAAGCAAGTCAAAAATAGTGCAAGTGTAAGATGAAAAAACTGATATAAACACTCAAATCTAAATATTGTAATTATTGTTGGTATGTATTCAAAGACGAATTTCTAATGGAAATAGGTTGAAGTTCAAAATTAATATCTACTACCAATACTATTCTTGAATGGGATCAGAACTCCAAATGATGACAATTCATCGAATTGTCGGGGTTCAAATAGTTATGTGCCTAATACATTTTTATTTAAAGCTTTCGTGACTGCGGGGATTCATCTTCTTGGTTCTTTCCGTAAAGTCACGTATTTGCATTATTTTATTATTTCCCTTCTACGTGACTATACCGAAAGAACCAAGAAGATGCCTAATTCATGGAAAGGTTTTGTGGAGAGTTGTGTTTGGCCCACAACAGCTGTGTCATCACTGTCTCATTGCTGTGTCTGCATGTGTGCCGCTCAGCCATCAGTCTTGAAGGAGCTTAAGCTGCCACCCACTGAATTTTCACACTCGGCCGACCTCGTGGCAATCCACTGCCGCGAATCCACTGGGAGCAAGGACGACACTTCGGCGCAAGTGAGGGATCACTCGGAAGCACCAAGCTAATTGTTAGCATTGCTGACTTCTCACGTAACCCATTTCCCATTAAACCATTGCTTAAAAAGGTAACATGTAAAGGTGTAGCCCTGCAATTGCGTGCTCATACCACTGCTGGCGGAAGGCCCACCACTAGAGGGAACTCTGGAAAGCTGACCTCGTAGAAATAAGACTGATAAGCACACATGAACGTTCACACCACATGGCACGTTCGAATGTGTATGGTCAGCGGCAGCCATCATAAGCCACCGGTGGCAGGCGTTATCAAATACCGTGTGTTAATT